AATGAATGAATGAAGTCCAGCCTACCGAGGCGAGCAGCCAGAATACCGACCAGCCCATTCCCTGCTCCCAGCTCGATTATTCGCCTTCCTCTCAGCTCCACTGAATAATCCTCAAAGTAACGGCACAGATGCAGCGCCTGAGACCAGAAACGGGAGATAATCACTCAACTTGTTCAAGGACCAAATCAGAAAAGCTGTGATAAGCAGCAGGCGCGCTCACAGCTTCCCAAACCGCAGCGGCCACGCCGAGGTTGGCCCCGAAGAGCTGCTTAATGCGGAGCTGCTGCCCCATCAGCCTGAACACTGACTCCTGGGAAAATGTCTCAGAGGACAGGCAGTCATCGTCCACAGGGAACGGGTCTTCATCCTCAGCAAAAATCATCGCTTATTTTTAGTAAACTACAATTTGAAAGATTAAAAAGCAGCCACTTCTACCGCAGGGAGTCTTTCAACTTCCGGGTCATGTTAGCTAGCGCACTAAAACCCAACGATTTCACTAATTCACTGTCGATATTGTCATCTATACTTGATATAAATGTTAATTTTATATACATTACTTTTGCAAAAAGAAACAAAAAACAGTTTACAAAAAAAAGAAAAAGTTCGGTATGCGAAAGCTGACAGCTTTTATTTTGAAAGAAATATTAAATCCCCTTTTATTTCCGGGTAAAAAAAGTTGATTGATTTATACGCAAACTATTTATTAATTTTCCTTTTCTTCTTCCTCTCCTCTTCAATAAAAGATTAAAATCCAGGCCAAATTGTATTGCTTTTTAATAGGAGCTGAGCCTGTTTATTTCATCACTGAAACATAAAAAAACTGCTTTTTTTAAGCTCTTCAAACTGCAGAGGACTTTTAATGAACTAAACCTCTAATTCAACATTACTATTATTTTATCATTATTCTGTCCTTTATTATATTATTTATCCATTTACATTGTATAATAATTCAGTTTATCTTGATATGCCCACTCACCTAATTGTAATTCAAGTAGTTCATGGCTGCTATTCAAAAGAAAATGTCTTAAAAATACAAATCATGAGTAATAACCAGCATAAATAAACATTTAAAGCTCTAATTTTGGAATAATTCCAAGCTTAAGCTGTTTAAATGTTCCAATTAAAAGCATTGGAATTTTCCCAATAGGAAATATAAGGAATGTCCTCTAATTAAACGCACAAACTTCAGGGAGAGGTTTCCTAAAAGTTGCAGCACACACGAGACAATTTAAAAGAGGAAAAAGAAACCGACTGATAAGACCAGAGCTTGTGACTAAAGAGGAAAGAGGAGGTTGGAATTGTATACGTCACATATTTGACACATATGTCAATTATCACATTTTTTTTATAATGAAAAATTTCTAAAAATGACAATCTGACTTAGATTTGGAGTTGGTGGGTCACATGACCTGGAAGCTATTGAAGAAATATAAATTTAGTCTATAATAAAACATATTTAAAAATGAATCTGTTCCCCCTTGCAACTTTTCAAAACAAATGTCTATCACCTCTAAAGTTTCATGAGTGATATGTCATCATAAAATATGTTTATAAGCCTATAATGAAAAGCTCGGACTCTTTGTCTCTGATTTAGACAGAAGGGGACAAATTAAAGCAGAGACAGACAGCCCTATAAAATCTACAGCAAACTCTGTGGTTGATGAAGTTCAAGCCTAGTGTCTAATCCTAATCTTAAGAATGTTTATATTCCTATGGTGGATGTCAGGAGTTGATGTGGATACAATTCTGGCAGTATGGGATGAAATAAAACGCCTAATGTTAGAACAAAGACTGTTTATTAAGGATAGTACAACATTGAGAAATTGTAAGTTAATATAAAACACAAATATAGATTTTAGTACTAAACTTTTACACAGGAAAAAGTAATTTTCCTTCTGGATATAGACTTTAATGATTACATGTACACCCCATTTTCTATTTCATTTTAATTATATGTTGACAACAGTTTTAAATGGGATGAGAACATTTAGACTCGGTGAAACAATTTCTTTTAAGGAACATGTTGAAACGAACAAGGAGCTGTTGGCTTCCAGAGAAAGGAGTAGACACTGCTGTCAGCCGCCTGCTTGCAAGCAAACGCTGGTGTTTTTTTTGTTTTTTTCTTAAATCAGTATCACTGGCGATATTCTGCTATAACATGTGAAGGGAAGAATAAAACAGAAAAGCTCATCTTTCGTAAACATAAAACCTTGGCACGACACCTGTCGATGTCAGGAGGGAGGTCTTACTGTATAAATGCATCTCAGTTTCAGTCTGGTCTGGTCTCAAAAGTATGTTGGAACAAAACATGGTCTCTACCCAATAAGTATCTTCTAGCAAACAAGGTTAAAGAGGTTTCTTTTAAGATTATTCACCGCTGTTACCCAGTTAAGTCATTTTTAATTAAATATAAAAAGGATATTGATACCACCTGCACAGTTACTCTGAGTCTGTCTCACCTGGTTTGGTCCTGTCAATACACCAGCCGTCTATGGCAAGGTATTTGTTGCTTTATTCTGGACAATATTTACGACAAATTTGAACTTTATTTTAAGGATGTTTTATTTGGAATTACAGAATATAGAAAATAACTCTTCTTTTTATGTAATCTTTTGCTTCTGTTTGCCAAATTTTATATCCATAAATGTAAAACTACTATGACTAAACCTCATGTATTTCTTTCTTAAAGGAAGCATCATTTATTTCTATGTATGATCATCTTCCAATAACAAAAAGGCTGGTAAAACTTTATCTCTATGCTCTAAATTCAAGACATTTATGTAATCTCCTTATATGCTTCTAAGTCTTCACTTTACTATTTTTAGGTTTATTCAGTTATTTGTTTATTTTTACTATTTTTGTTCAGACCCCTGGCGATTGTTCTTTGAAAATTGTACTAATATCTTCTTGTAGTACAAAATTCTTTAATAAAGCTTAAAAAAAAAAAAAGAGTGTTACTCAGTGAGCGCGACAAAAATGTTGATATTTTTTTTACTGCTCATCACTAAATTCATTCAATCACCGCAAACGTATTAGTTTTAGGTATAATGATCCATTGATTATTCCTTGCTGACCGAACTTTTCCTTTAAATGATTAAAAAAGAAACTCAAAATGGGTCTTTTCCTTGTCTCTGTAAACAGTCCTGAGATTACGTGTCATTTGGCGCTATAGAAATGAACCAAATTTAATTATTTTCTTTTCCATCACACTCCAACTGCAGTTACACTGGGCCTTCCACGCTTTGTTTCCCATGATCATTAAAAACACACATCGTATTCTATCATATTCGAGCTTTATTTTTTCTTAAAAAGCAGCCGTCTCAGTTAATTCACTTTAAAAACAAAAACATACATGTAGTACCTCACAGATAATCTTATCTGTTACACAAAACTCCACATCAACAAGGAAAACGATTGGACAGCTGTATGAAGAGTAAAATACAGACAGTAAAGCTCTTTATCTTTGAAGCTTCTCAGTCTTTAAAGGAGGAAAGTTGAAGAGAATTTGCAACACATTGAGTGAAACGTGTCCAAACAATAAGAATAAAAGGTAATAAGGCTATCTCTGAACGACTGCCTGCGTTTGGACATCACAGTGTTCAGCTCAGTGGAGTGGGTTCATTTTATTCATACTCGAACAGCAAATCTACAGAAAAACACATCAGGATTATTTGAAGGTATCAGAAAAATAAATAATTCTTTATATCATACAAGCGACAGTAGTAGAACATCCATGACGACGTTTCCTCCTCTCAGGCCCTCAGTATGTGCAAACTGCAAGAGTTTTAAAAAGGTAGCACTTTATGCTTGGAACATGGAATATAAAAACAAGTGTTTTTACAATGAGCTTTTCAAAGTGTAGCGAGGGTGAGAGATGATTCAAACTTGGTGAAGGTGAATGAGGACAGCCATGTTTGAGTTGAGCCACTGAAATTAAACAGGATATTTTTGGTTCTGCATATCTTCTCTGATCAAACCTAAAAATGTTCTCATTGCATTTTTTTAAGAGGGTCAAATACTGAGTTTAGGCTTAACGCTGATCTGACCGTTAAACGCTTGTTTAACGTGGGTAATCCAACCACAAACATGTTTTCCTTTCATTAACGCAGAGATATGTCAGCATGGGCGGGGATTCCTGCTTCAAACTGAAGATTGCTTCTTTCGCTCAACAGCTAGCAGCAGGGAAACACCTTCACTCCGCTCAAAAAGCACTTGGAGGGATGATGAATTCTTCTTGACGGTTTCAGGCCGAATCGAGAAGAGCCCGAAAGCCACAAACAACACGACAAACACCCAAACAGACGGACACAAACACGGAGGAATGATTCACTTGAACTTTGTTCCGAAAAGGATAATGATTAGAACAAGGACTATGACAAAGAGGATCAAAATGACCAGCATCTTCCGGTTTTTCTTCTGGTACTGCTCCGCCTGAAAAGAGAAGGTAAAAAAAAAAAAAAAAACACATCAATTCCACTATATAACGACTTAAACATCCTAAATTAGAATCTGTTGCCATTTTAAACCAATAAAAGTTTATTTTTAATTCAACAGAAAATATTTCCTCCAAGATGAAGGATGGATTCTCCTCTATAGTCAATTGTCTGCTAAAGAAATATACATATTTCCAAGTTAATGATGAGGAAAAAGTCTGTAAAAAACATTTCTGGTTCTTTTACTGTTATTTTGTCATGAAAATTTAATCAAATATTCTTAAAAAAAAAGCCCTGAACTTTATTAGCGTCTCTTAATACTGTTTTACACCTAGTAAGAGTCTCTGTAATGGTTTCAAATCAGCACTATGCTGCAGAAACCATCCATAAATAAATAAAAATGTCTTAAATTAAGTGTATTTACCCTTAATTTGAGCAGGTAAATAAGATGATCTGACAAAAGGGTGAGGATTTTTAATCTTAAAATAAGATAATTAGAAATGCATTTTAAATACGACAATGTAGCTTATTTTTCTGTTTTAAGTATACATTGTCTTGCTTCATTGTCAAAGTGTCGCACTTACCTCCCCAATTCAAGAAAAAATGCACTTATTTTAAGAAAAAATGACTTATTCATATTTCAATTTTTTGCAGTATAAACTGTTCAGCTTTATTTCTGGCAGCTAAAGCTTTGAACCATGAAGACGACTCCAACAGAACAATGAATCTAAAACCAGAAAAGTTTGGTGGTTGGACAAACTCTGCCCCAAAGCAGAAAAATATAAATCTAGATAAGTAATTTTTTTCTTAAAATAAGTGCATTTGTTCTTGGATTGAGGAGGTAAAAGAGACATTTTGCCAACGGAACCAGAGAATTTACATTTAAAATAAGAAAAACATAATTGCATTGTTGTATTTCAACTGCATATTATCTAATTATCTTATTTTAAGAGTAAAGATACTCCATTGGCAAACTATCTCATTTACCTGCTCAAATTAACGGTAAATACACTTA